AGACAGATTTGAATTCAGCCCATGGAACATGATCGGTCGAGAACCGGGACCACCGGAAAACCGAAGCTACTGCACTGCGAATGGAACAGAAAAATCGGCATCGAAAGTGAACGAATATTTGGGGTAATATAAGTGAATGAATAAGTGATATTGAACAAGCGGAAAAAATCGTCTTACCGGAGTCTCTACTACACTTGAGTTGAAAATAGACCAGACCTCATTTACGGAATATCATCGGCGCAGCATGACTAGTGCCAAAGAAAAGACAGATGACAAAAAAACAGCAGCCGGTTTAAAAACTTTTACCGCAGACACATCATGCGAAACTTCTACAATAAACCTGACGTGGAATACCGACGGAGACTATATAAATTTTTTAACAAACACGCTTTTCCACTATGAAAATGGCAGAAGCTTAGATTCAATACTTTCGTAACAAAAGTTGCAGATTTCTACAACGGTCCTAAAGTCTTATTGTGGGTAAAGTCGTTCAGCAAAAGACATAGGGTCCATCAACATCATAACACTCTCGCACCTCCTGCAAATCCTATGCTGAAGACAGCTGATAACTTTTCTTCTGATCAGTGCTTATGACATATGACTATGAATCTTAGACCGCGCCATTAATCGTCTCGCGTGCTTCATAATCACTTAGATTTTGGGCTCAGGGTCAAGAACGGCAAGATTATAAATTATTATTTCTATGGGTTAGAAGAAAAACCTGAGTGATCTCAGTTCATTTTTCACCTGCCTCAAATAACTAATTTGAAATCTTTAGATTAGTGATTTTCTTTACCTCATTACAAAGAATTCTAGATTCAAACTGGCACGTGACCTTAGAGTGCACCTACCATCGGTTCGTTCATGACAAGAGACTCGATTAATTTTATATGTATAACGCCAAGCGAAAAGTATGGTAAAAACCTTTAACACCCGTTTCCTCCTCAGACCCATTTAAAAATGAGCCTCCAATTGATCGTCTTCTAAGCTAATAACAACATCGCCGACAACGATTCTCACCCTGACATGCAAACCCACGGGTCCCTATAGAATCACAGTTAAACCCAGATAATGAGGAAAAGCGTATACATCTAAATCGAATGGAAAAGGAAAAATTTTCTTTCTAACCGTTGAGACACCAATCCCCTTAAGGCATCTGTGGTATTTTGTTTTTCAACAGGTTTACGGTAGAGCGCTGATTTTCGTATCCATGACATTAACGACTGGTTCATTTCAAAGGCAAGGTAGATCGCAGCTTTGAGGTAAGCATTGTGTGAAATATCCTCTTTCCTTCCCAGGGAATGACGCCGATTTATCAACCTAAAAAAAAAAGAAAGGTGACTGAAGCCGACCGCAGCTCGAAACCGAAACCTTTCGATTCTGAGTCCGACACTCTAAATACTGAATAATCCAGGTCTAAATTAAATTCTTTCAGAGGGTTACAACCGTTTTTCCTCGTAATGCTTTGCACACAGCTTCGGTCTTCTCCTTCGTTATGTGATCTTATCATCAAAGAAATATTATCTGATCATATATTGCGTACGCCTAACTCTATCATGCCAAATTTCTCAATGTTACGGCATCATCCATTGCTCCTAGACGTAAAGAGGGCCACGTAACTAAGACGGGATTAATTATTTTAGCACCTATTGTCATGAATGGGTCATGCATGATATTTTGACTTCAGCAATATTCCTTGACAATCATGAACAATGTCTGAGGAAGATGTACTTCGAATAAGCTTTAACAGAATGTAGGAACTGCAGGATACCTCGAAGTAGTTCGAACAAACCGTTCTTCCCCACAATGAGATATAGGAAGCCAGCCAAAAACGGCAGTGTACCAAGGTAGAGAACTACCGTTATAGAACTACCTGCATTGAACAGATGCATCTCGCAGCATTTTGTATACTGAAGCTGTGATGCATAAATAATTTCACGAACCGATACTCCTTATATGCAATATCATCATGTAATCTAAATGACCTTGCTCAGTCAAACAATCAATCAAATTTATTTGCTTGAGCAACAGCAGAACGGCACAGAATGGTTCAATCACAATTTGCCACAAACTTCTAGTTTATCGTCTCGCTAAAACGTACCCACTTTCTCTTTATAAAACAAGGAAGGTTATGCGCACCTTATCGAATGAAGATTACAGTACAAAACCAAGCGGAATGCATAAGATATTAAACGTTCAAAAACCGTTCTTTTCCTCAGAACCACGCGATATTCATAATCGCTGTTGATCTCTCTTTCTGTTTCCTGACGCACCACCTGGCTTATCGACAACGTAGTACAATTTATTTCATTTAAATCGGTAGTGACAGTGATACACAGCTGCATGAGCGTCATTTAAATTAAATTGAGTCCAACGTTCGGCTACGGGTAATTTTTTCAGTCATAAGAATATAAACGACAATGTATTATTCCGAAGGAGATGCCAGTGAGGTAGTGTCAACGATCTTTGGTCAAAGACGATTATATTTTTTCTTAGCAACAGAGGATTTGGATTTGGAATCGGCTTTTGTGGGGACGATTCATTTCATAATGCTGCTGGTACGCCGTAAATCTCCATTCTGCGTCATGAGGTACGAGTACGTTATTGTTCCTTTCTCAAGTCCATATACATCCTGGTAAGCTGGTGGCTATCAAAGCATGAAATCTGCTTCTCTTCCATGAAGCGCTACTCGTTTGTCGAACTTATAAAGTAAAAAAGCGAGTGACCCAATAGAGACTCGAAAACAAGGACTTCTCGATTATTACTCCGACGCAATACTAACGGAGCAACTTCTGCAAAACGAAGAAGTATGCAAAAAAGTTAAGGTCATAAAGTGTCCATTCCGACTTGCAGATTAGCCTAGTGCGACACAGAAACTCAAAACCACAGGACTTTGCACGATTAACAAACACCTGAGGGACAAAGAGCTAAATACACCGAGGAAAATTCAGTTCTACAGCAGCAAACAAAGCTGTTAATCGAAAAGAACTACAAATAAAATTATATATAAACGGCTGAGTTACCTTTTGCAGACTGCTTGGATTCAGTTGCGTCTTGTCGATGATCTTTATCGCCACTTCGCGATCGGTAGGCATGTGTTTGGCGAGTTTGACCTTGGCAAAGTTACCCTTGCCTATCGTTCGCAACAAACGATACTTGCCGACATGAGGTTCGTCCGAAGCACGACTCCTCGACGATATTCGACTACCGCTGGTCATGGTACGGCCGCTTTGACTGCCGCCACTACCAGGGGTGCCCGTATACCGACTAGTGTGATGTTCCTAGAAAACACAAACATACGGCCGTTTC